ATTTCCAGTAAACCAATAAAATCCTCATTTTCATTCCAATCATGCTCAATTTCAGAAAAACAAGGAAATTCTCATGAAAATCATCCAAATTCTCATTTCAGTTTAATCACACTCAGATGCCGATAAAATCAATTTAAAATCAATTTAAACCTTGCCACCATCTCAAAAACAATTGAAAACATGCCTTAAAATCGAAGGGCTTTACCATAATTTACTTACCTCACTCGCACAGAACAGAAGGCTAACCCAAGTGCTACGGTGACAGAACGATCAAAACCTAATCACAATATTCCACAATTAATACCGAACAACCACAATTTCATAGTAAAATCATCATTAGCACTACCTCTAATCACAGTGCTATTTCTATCAATCTCCACATAACCGGACATCTCCAAATTCATTCTTATATCACAAACTAATCATTTAAATCCCCGCTAATTATTGACCCTCGGTGTGTGAACAGTGCTCGTGAACAGTAACTTCAACTTCCAAAAAATGGGCAAAACATAGCCAATTCACGGGGTTTCTCTCCAAAATCTCACAACAATCATAACAAGCTAATTTTCTACTTAAACCAAGCACAAAACACATTTAAATGCTATCAAAGGCTACCGGAATTCCTCCCCTCATTTTAGCAAAATTCGAACAACACATGGCAGCAATTAAATGGCTAATTTAGGGCTTAAAGAAGTGGCCTTCATACCAGAATTTTCCAGCAAGAACCGGAGCTAGCAGGGGAAGAAGAAGCCGGCGGCAGAGAAGAAGAAATTCTGCAAGGGAACTCACGGGATTTACCCAAAATTAAAGGAACCCAACTTAATCAAAGCTAAAAGGATCAAATCATGGCTGTTTCTTACCAGAAAAGCCGAGAATTCACACCCACACAAGCAGAGGCCGACGGACAAAGGGAAGAAAACAGCGCAGATTTGGAATTTCCAGCAAAGAGGGGGAATTTTTGGGTTTACTAGGTGTTCTAAGACAAGAAAATAGGGAGAAATCCCCAAGCTTTGCCGGATTTCCGGCCGGAAAATGGGTGGCGGTAGTTGGGGGGCTCGTCGTGTGCAGAGGGTCGGGGGAGGAAGGGAAGCAGAAGCAGAAACACGCGGCTGTGAGGAAGAAAAGAAAGAAAAAGAAAAAGAAAAAGCAATTCATCCTTATCCTAATTTCCTTTTTTTTAGCCCTTCAACTTTTTAAAATTTCACGATTAAGCCCCAAAACAATATTTTTCCTCAAATAAGTCCTCAATTTAATGCTAAAATACCCCAAAATTTTGGGATATTACATTTATAAAAAAGAATAAATATCAATACACAACTAAATATATATAAATAACTAAAAATATATTAAATATATATTTATAAGTAAATAGATATA